AGCAGCCACTGCACTCCAGTCTGGGCGACAGAATGAGACTCCAACTCAAAAAAAAACAAATTTACCACTTCAGTCACGTTGAATACATGTTGTGTTCACGTTTTGTGCAACAACTCTCTAGAGCATTTCATCTTGAAAACAGAAACTCTGTACTACTAAATATTCCCTGTTTTGTTCCCCACCTTTATCCGACTTGCTAACTTCTCCTTTCCTTCAGCAAGTTATTGAACATCTGCTCTGGGTCGGGCACTGTGCGGGGTCTGCACTGATAGGCATGGCAGAGATGGTTCAGGAGAGGACAGGTGGCAGCAAGTGGGGTTGGTACCCACAAAGTAAAACTGTATGAAGTTCACTGATTCTAAGGTGAACATTTTTATATATCTGAACTTGAGATGCATTTTAGGTTTTTTTGAAGTTGCGGGGTCTCACTGTGTCGCCCAGGCTGGAGAGCAGTGGCACCATCACAGCTAACTGTAGCCTTGACCTCCTGGGCTCAAGTGATCCTCCGGTCTCAGTATCCCAAGGAGCTAGGACTACAGGTGTGCACCACTATGCCTGGCTATTTTTTTTTTTTTTTTTTTTTTGTAGAGACAAGGTGTCATTATGCTGCCCAGGCTGATCTCAAACTCCTGGGCTCAAGTGATTCTTCCGCCTTGGCCTTCCAAAGTGCTGGAATTATAGGCATGAGCCACCAGGCCCAGCCTGGGATGCATTTTATGTGGGATTGTTCTTGTCCTGGGTTTTTCCAGAGAGGATTTACTTTTGCTTCTGCCATCACCTGAGTACATTTCAATCCAAGACCACCTAAAATTATCTGCTAGAGCAGTTCCCCTCTTTCCTCCCTCATGGTGTGACTTTAGACAGCAACCTTTAAAAATAGAGCTTGAAGTTTAAATTCTCAGAGAAACTTTTTCCAGTCACAGCCAGATACATGCAGAGCTTCCTTCCTTGCCATCCTTTTTGGCATGGCAGGTTTATTACTTGTTTATCCTGTCTACTGAGGATGTTGCTCTTTGATGCCCCAGCTTTTTTTCTTTTTTTTTTTTCCAGAGGCAGGGTCCACTCTTTTGCACAGGCTAGAGTGCAGTAACACAATATAGTTCACTGTAACCTTGAACTGGACTCAAGCAATTCTCTTGCCTCAGTATCTTCGGCTTTTTTCTTTTTTTTAGAGACATGGTCTTGGTGTGTTGCCCAGGCGAGTCTCGAACTCCTGGCGTTAAGCAATCCACCTACCTTGGCCTCCCAAGATACTCCTGATTTGAATGGAGGTCTCTTATTAGACCTCTTACCGAAGTTGTTTTTTCATTCTTTGGAGATCTGTAAAACTGTGGTGCATCTTACAATCAGTGGCATCTTAAGGTTCCATGAAACATTTTAATAGTCTGTGGCAGGCCAGGCTCAATGGCTCTTGCTTGTAATTCCATTGAGATGAGAGGATCGCTTGAGGCCAGGGGTTTGAGACCAGCCTGAACAACATAGCAAGACCCTGTCCCTTTTTTTTATTTTTTAAGTTTGGCATGGTAACATGCACCTGCAGTCCTAGCTACTCAGGATGCTGAGGCAGGAGGATCACTTACACCCAGGAGTTCAAGGCTGCAGTGAGCTATGATCACGTACTGCACTCCAGCCTGGGCGACAGAGCAAGACCCCATCTCGAAAAATATATATCTTTTTTGTGGCAGGGGTGATTTACTCAGGAACTGTAAGGAAATGGCCTGTGGAAGTGAGCATTCAGCCCTATTCCCTGACCCACAGGGCTCTTGGGCAGAGGCGATGGACTGTGGCCACAGCAGCCCCAGCTTCCGCCTAACTCAAGCAAAGCGTCTCTGCTCCTGTTTGTGTCTTAAGTTCCTTGAAGGACTTCATTTGAATAAAAAATTCTATCTAAAAAATGTTCATAGGCCACCGTCTTATGAACTAGTTTCTACTTGGGTAGGTAGGAAGAAGCAAGAATAGTTGCAAAGTTATAATTTTACTCCCTCTTCCCACCCAAAAAGTAGAACTGAGATTCTTGAAACATGGGCTCTGGTTCCAGCTTGGCCACAGTTACCCTCGTCTGTTTAACATAGCCTTCTCCTGGGTCTCAGCTTCACCTCTAAGGAATTAACACAGAGGAATCGCTTGGCCCTTCTGTTACCGGAAATCTCATTATAAGTTTCTAGAACTTCACCCAATAAGTCATGAAACTGTAAAAGCTTATCTTCCAACCTGGTAGGTTTACTCCCATACCAGGTAGAGCTGACTCTGGGGACAGAGCGGGTTCTTCTGCTTGAAGGTAGCTGCTGCCATCTGCACGGCCTCTCCCTTAACACAGTCTTTACTGAGTAAGTTACTTGGTTGTGTGTTCCACAAGTACACTGACAGCTCAGTTCTAATTTTGCTTGACCTATGTTTTGTTGTAGGGAAGCAGAAATGAGAAACAGTATCTTAGCCCAAGTTCTGGATCAGTCAGCCCGGGCCAGGTGTAAGCATTTTCAGTTTCCTTATCTCCATAAGTTGGCTTGAGTTAGTTGATTGAGGAGATCTATGTGCAGTTATTGCTATCTCTGGATGAAGTATTTAACTTAGAACACTTGAGATTTGTAAGATGGGAGGCTGACAGGCCTAGGGGACGATACTTTCATCATTATTAAAAGTAGCAGCTCACTTATCTCTTACCAAGGAGATGTCCTCCAAGTGTACATTAGAGAAAACTTGTAGGAAACAACTCAGAAGCAACCACACGGTGTTGCTGGTAGTTGACATGGGTGACAGGGACTTAGGAGCTTATTGTATGCACACTTGGCTTTAGTGTCTGTACAGAGTTTTTCACCGTGAAAACCAAAGTGAAACAATGTAACAAAAATAAAATGAGTCAATCAGAATAAACTAATATTGACTGTATTTTAACTTGAAGCCCAGTTTCAGTTTAGAAAGGGCAGCTGTAGACAGATAACCACCATCATGTATGTTTGTTAAATAAATTGCATTTCAGAGGACAGTCATATTTTAGGATGCAGGAAAGCATGGGGCTTATAAGCTGAGAGCCCAAGGTTAGTCTTGGCTCTACCACTACCTGTGTGTTTCTCGTTCTTAAGAGGGGCAACAATACTGTCTGCCCTGTCTGCTTCATCAGTTGACAGACTAAGCTTATGAAGTGCTTTGGAAATATCAGTGCATGGTTGTAAGGTATAATATTAATGAAAATCCATTTGGTTTTGATGACTTTTTACATACATATTTTTTTCTTTTTAGTAAGTAACTTAGCACTTGTAAAGCCTGAAAAAACTAAAGCAGTAGAGAATTACCTCATACAGATGGCGAGATATGGACAACTAAGTGGGAAGGTAAGCTCGGACTGCCTTGGGGGAGCTTGGCCTACTGTTGCATGCTCTATCAAAACGTGGCTCCAAATGGTCAGCTTCATCTGATTATTCTTGTTGAATCGTTCACAGAAATCTAACAATTTCTGTGAGGAGATTGTTAAGAGAAGAGTTGACCCTACCATAAAAGATCATTGCCTTTCCTAAAATCCTCTGCTTCTTCTTTCCTGACATTGCTGTGGACCTTGTTGGTGTCTGTGTGACTCACTCACTATTAGGTTTAGCTAGCTTAAATTCCTCCGGCCCTGAAGACCGGGTCTGTCAATAATACCATTAAAGCTCTACCAGGTAACAGTTAAGCTTGTAGCCGGGCTCGGTGGCTCAGCCTGTAATCCCGCACCTTGGGAGGCTGAGATGAGTGGATTGCCTGAGCCCGCGGGTTCGAGACCCGCCTGGGCAACTTGGCGAGACCTCATCTTTACAATAAATCAAAATGAGTCGGGCATGGTAGCGCCCGCCTGTAGTTCCAGCTGCTTGGAAGGCTGAGGCGGAAGGATCGCCAGAGCCCAACAGGTTGAGGCTGTGGTGGCCGGGAGTGGCCACTGCACTCTAGTCGGAGTGACAGAGTGAGACTCCAACTCAAAAAAAAAAAAGTTAAGCTTCTTTTGCATGTAAGAAGGTGCTAAGATCCCTTGGTTATTATGTTTTGCTGTAATGCCACCTTCAAAATCCAGACGAGACCCACCTACACTGGGAACACTTCTGCCACCACCACAGCCACCTGGACCAGTCCTGTCCTGTAAATCCCTCACTTATGTGTGGGACAGACATCTGGTTGATTTTTTTTTTTTTTTTTTTGAGTCGGAGTCTCAGGCTGGAGTATCGTAGTACACTCATAGCCACCCCAGTGTCAATCTGCTGGGCTCTGGTGATCTTTCCACCTCAGCCTTCTAAGTAGCCAGAACTACAGGCACGTGCTACCACGCTAATTTTTGATTTATTGTAGGGACAAGGTCTCCCCAAGTTGCCTGGCTGATCTCAAACCCACGGGCTCAGACAGTCCATTGACTTTGGCCTCCTAAAGTGCTGGGATTACAGGCTGAGCCACTGAGCCCAGCTGGTTGGTCATTTCTGAGTGTGATTTATCTCCTTCAAAGTGGTATTTACGTTTTTCAAGGGTAGAAGTGGTTGTGTCTGTTTATATTCCTGGAAACACAGCAGTGTATGTGGTTGTCATTGTGATAAAGGTGTTCTTAAATTCCTGTTCACTTTGAATTTTTCTGAGGAGGGTATTTCATGGGTACTTTTTTCAGTTGAGTTTTCTCCCTAATAAGATTATTAATTCAAGCCGGGCTCGGTGGCTCAGCCTGCAATCCCGCGCCTTTGGGAGGCTGAGGTGAGTGGATTGCCTAAGCCCGCGGGTTCGAGACCTGCCTGGGCAACTTGGTGAGACCTCATCTCTACAATAAATCAAAAATTAGCCAGGCATGGTAGCATGCGCCTGTAGTTCCAGCTACTTGGAAGGCTGAGGCAGAAGGATCGCCGGAGCCCAGCAGGTTGAGGCTGCGATGGCCGGGAGCGGCCACTGCACTCCAGTCTGGGTGACAGAGTGAGACTCCAACTCAAAAAAAAAAAAAAGATTATTAATTCAACTTTAAAACTGCTGGAACAACAGTGACTAATAAAGATATGTATAGATAATTCAATAGCTGTTAAATAACATTTTCCAGCTTGTACAAATGGAACTATGTACTAATAAGAACCTAAATCCTCTCCTTCCTTCTCAAATGAGAGCTAGCAGATCACCTTTTTCTTGGAACTTAAACCAGTAGTTTCAGCCTCCTGTCTCATCACTCCTTCCCCTCCTGACCTTTCCCCCTCACCCTAGAACTGGTGAAATGGTTTGATCTGCTGAAGTGAATTATTTGTTTAAGAAAGTACTGTTTTTCTTTCTGGTTATTCTAGGTATCAGAACAAGGCTTAATAGAAATCCTTGAAAAAGTAAGCCAACAAACCGAAAAGAAAACAACAGTTAAAGTAAGTTCTCCACATGCACATGGCAAACAAACAGATGGGTACTGTGAATGTTAAGCCTTGAATGCACGCCTCCCAGTCAAAAGATCTGTCAGCCATAGATGTCTTCCTTTTGTATCACTGCAAGTTTGGGAAGAAAGGCTGCATATACTGAGGGAAGTCCGAGTTTTAAGGCTCTTGACCTCCACCCTTTTAGCCTACGGAGTTGTAAAGATAGTAGGTAGAAATTCTTCTTCTCAAAACCTGAGTTATGCTTTATTAAAAATGTTATGACACTCATTTAATTTTCTCCCCAGTTCAACAGAAGAAAAGTAATGGACTCTGATGAAGAGGATGATTATTGAACTAAAACTGTTTAGAGACTGGAACTTAATGGTACAATTCTAGGACAAATTAAGATCTGATTAAATGTTTACTTTGTTTATTGTCTATATGCCTTTTAAAAAAATAAACTTGATATGCAAAACAGTTTGAGTAAGTTGTTTTAGTACCATAGACAAGTGACCAGAAGATCTACATTTTGCTTTTCTTCCCTTCCTACTGAAAGCTTTTGAATGTATAGCAACATGAACAGATCCTGTGCAATTGTGACATTATTTATTAGGGAAAATGTCCTTAGTAGAAATAGAAGCTGACCAGCACTTTTAGTAAGGAAAAAAAACCAGCCAATCGCATCGTGGGAATTAAACTGAATCAGCTTTAACATATGAGCACAAGTTTTGAAAGTGGGTATGCTGTTTCTCTTCCTGCAGGTACTACTTCCATTTAATGTACTTCCTAGCTTTGATTTCATTTATAATCTGCTTTTCAAAGGCATTGAGGTTAAAATATCTAACAAATAATACTCCCATTGAGAACAAGTAGAGTGATACCACTGAAAAAAATGACCAAAATAATTAAGACCTACTGGAATAATACTTCAACAGTAATAAACATGTTTGTTGGGGGAAATGACTTCTAATGAGTAAAATTCAGTTGAGACAGTTTAGCAGTGAAACCTTTTGGTAGAAACCTGTGTTCTTCACTGATCAAGATGCAATTGACTGAAAACAAATGTTGTCTCTTATGTTGTGCTTTACTTCCACTAGGTTACAAAAACCTTCACTCATAAGTTTTGTTTTGTTTTTTTAAGTCGGAGTCTCACTCCGTCGCCCAGACTGGAGTGCAGTGGCCGCTCCCGGCCACCGCAGCCTCGACCCACTGGGCTCCGGCCATCCTTCTGCCTCAGCCTTCCAAGTAGCCGGAATTACAGGCACTACCACGCCTGGCTGATTTTTGATTTATTGCAGAGATGAGGTCTCGCTGCCCAGGCGGGTCTCGAACCCGCGGGCTCAGGCAATCCACTCACCTCAGCCTCCCGAAGGCGCGGGATTACAGGCTGAGCCACCGAGCCCAGCATAAGTTATTTTTTTAAGACGCATTGTCTTGTATTGCCCAGATCAGCCTAAAACTCCTGGGCTCAAGCGATCCTCCCACTTCAGCCTCCCAAGGAGCTGGGATTACAGGTACCCCACCACTCATAAATTTTAAGTCATAAATGTAACCATTAATTGAGCTATTTGGGGTTAATGTAAACCTCTTAAGTGTTTTAGTCCTGTGAGACCCAGAGCAGAAGTTCAACATTTAATAAAATAAGTAAGATTAGCAGCAGGAAAGTGATAAGAAACATGGTTTACAAGTCTCAGTCTCTGCTTTAGCCAGCATACTGCTTATGTATGATTAAACTTTGAGATTTTAATATATTTAAAATTTGTAACTAGTCAATCAAAAAAGTCAGAATAGTGTCTACCATTCTGAATGAGAAGAACATTAACATTTTTTAAAAGGAAAAGAATGATCATAAATAAAATAAATTTTGGTCAGGGAGTGTTCTGTCAGGATAAACTGTTGGTGATTTCTTTTTTTTAAAGAAAAAAATTTGGTCAGGAATTTTTTTTAAAACCCCCATTACAGGTAAATTTCACTTTAGGTCTCACTCACATAAAAAATGCTGGGGGGACATTAGACAAACCTCGTCAGGCTTCATACACCTTCTCTTGCAGAGTAACCAAGTAATGAGAACGTGTCTGCAGGCCAAACGCTTGTCTTCCAGAGACACCTGGGAATGAAAAGGGTTCGTTCTGTCCACAAAGAGAGAGGCGCCAAAAGGCAGCAAGAAGACAGACTCGTTCGGGCCAGGAGGAGAGAGTGGCTGTTCTCCACTTCCTGATCATCCCCCTCTACCACAAAGCTCAGAAGCGAGTGGCTGGGGCACACCTAGGGTTGTGGCTCCTCAGGAGGCTGAGGCGGGAAGATCACTGGAGCCCAGGGACTCGAGGCTGCAGTGAGCTATGATCACACCACCGCACTCCAGCCAGTGACAGCGAGATCCTGTCTCTGAAAAAAAAAATAATACGCTTTTTAACATATCAGTGAGCTGGTATGACTTTGAATTCAGAACTTTTTTTCACAAACTGGGAGTTTGAGCATTACCAATTTCTTTTCTTTTTTTTTTGGAGTTGGAGTCTCACTCCGCCGCCCAGACTGGAGTTCAGCGGCATGCTCACAGCCACGCGTGCGGAGCTGCTGGGCTCAGGCAATCCTTCCGCCTCAGCCTTCCAAGTGGGTGGAGCTACAATGCGCGCTATCATGCCAGGCTAATTTTTTTATCGATTGTAGACATGAGGTCTTGCCAAGTTGCCCAGGCTGTCCTGCATTGCCAATTTCTAAACTGTCGAATCAAGTTTGGTTTTTCTTTTAGATAGGGAAAGCAATTGGAAAAAGTGTTTTTAAAAATAATCGAGGTAGTCGCTTAGGATGGAAAACACTAGTTACTAGCACAGCTCAAGAGGAAACCCCCCAAGATTGACAGTCCCGTGCGAAACACTTAGCTCTCCAGGTGAAGGGCACACCAAGCTTGCAACTGCCAGTTCAGATGCCACTGCCGAGGCTCAGACCTCTAGCAAAACGGTCCCCTTATTCTCTTCTGAACCTGTTTCCTCATTTGACTCTTCTACCGTCCCGAGTGATTGTTGGGATTAAGCGAGTATATATGAAAATGTTTTTAAAATATTGTACTACTCAAAACTCAATATCGAATGTATGTATTTGTGTTGAGAATACCTGTGCTGACAAACTACAAAGGTTATCGTTTCTTAGCATAGTATAGAAGAACCATAGCGACTTAAGTCGATAGGCTGTTTTGTTTAAAAGTGGGGAAAAAGGAAGAAAATCAGAACAGAGAAATTAGCAAAGCAACAGTGCTCATTTCTTGTTTGAGCTAGGAAACTGTGTTCATTTTATTCTTCTGATTTTATTTTTCATTTTTGAGTAGGAGTCTGTTGCCCAGGCTGGAGTACAGTAGCACACTCATGGCCACCGCAGTCTCGACCTGCTGAGCTCAGGATCCTTCCGCCTAAGCCTTCCAAGTAGCTAGAACCAAAGGTACACACCACCACGCCCAGCCAATTTTTTGATTTATTATAGAGATGAGGTCTTGCCAAGTTACCTAGGCTGGTCTTGAACCCCCAGACTCAGATAATCCTCTCACCTCCACCTTCCAAAGTGCTGGGATTACAAGTGAAAGTCACCACGCCCGGTTTATTCTTCTGACGTTAAAAGAAATTAAAACATGTTCATGGGCCCTGGACACTGAGCCTATTAGATTGTGTCAGCCCTGGTCAGGTAGCTGGATGACGCTCTGCTGTGAATGATTGTGTGTACATGTTTCCATCACGTGTCATATATAACTGAAAATTAAAGTTATCCATGCAGTGGGCATTTCCCACACACAAGGCACATGCTTATAGCTAGAGAGGCTGAGAAACATTGATCTCCATAGCAAAATAACTACAAAAGCATACTATGACATACTCAAGAATCATAAAATTTACTGTTTCTTTCCATCATTTGGCACATATCCAAGGCACATTAGAAAATTAGAAATCATAAATTACTTTGTAGAAAAATAATCAGTCCCCTCCCTTCTATACATAAGTATTTCCAAGAACATGCACAAAACCATTTCCCTATTACAAAGTTATTTGAAGATGTACTCAGGACAAACCCATGTCTGTGGCTCTAGACCACTAACATAAAATAATAACAGTAAAATCTATAGAAATTTATAAGAAATGGCACCAAATTCTAACTTAAAATAACTCAGACCTGGTTTGTGCTGTAAGTTTTGAATTTGAATCAAAAGACTAAGAAGAAAATGTGCCAAATCTACTTTCTAGTCCAGTAACCATCCATCAGGTGTGACGTTTAAGAGAGGTTCTCAACAGAAGGATGTTTCTAGAAACACGGTCACAGATGCATATGTAGTAACTAAACAGCTATACTTTGTGGGAAGGAAAATTATACCCAACTTTTCCAATATGCATGATGTAGAACAGGGCTAATACATCCTTTCACTCAAATGAACATTAAAGTGGCATTTAGGCATCTTTTGGTTCAAGTGTTGCTTTGCAAAGGAACATTATCCAGGTCCTACTTGGTTCATTCCCATGTGACATTTCTGCCTGGCTCCCACGGTACCATCAAACCTAAATTGCTTCTCTTCAGCTTGCTTCAGATGGAGGGATTCCTTTAGCTTGTGGTTTGCTAATCTGGACACGTCCCAGGCCTAGCACCTTTAAGGAGGAGGAAGTCAGAATCTAGTGGGGGAACCTTCCCTGGAACCAAGGAACCCTAATACTTAGGAAATGTGTGCCTTGGACTTAGGGATCTGGATGCTACTGGAATTTCTGTCCACTCCTTTTCAAGTGTGTTCCTTCGCTCTGAAGAGGAGAGAGATGGTGATACGGTTTCTGTTGCATTGTTTCCCTCAGCCACAGAAAAGCTTTCAGGAACTTTCTGCCGAAGATGTCTTTTCTCAAGCCAGTTATTTGAAAGTACACTGAGTTCTAAGCTGTGTTCGTGCTCAGCATCTTGTTGCACACTCACTTCTTGGCAGCAGACTTCATGCCTCACGACTGTCAAGACTGGGAAGCACCAGCCTCCCGGGGAGGGGCGAGGCTGCCGGCAGCGTCCAGGGCCTTGGACACAACCGCATCGTCCACTGTGTGTCTGCGGAGCATCCGCCTGTTTCCTGGGGCAGCCGGCTTCGGGTCAGGCCTACCGGGCCAGTCACTGTTTCCTTTGTCAGCAGGGGGAGAGCTGCTCTGGTCCGGCAGGTGACTTGGTTTCAGCGTGACAGGGGGCCTCCCTGGCTAAAGAAAGAGGACAGTTCAAACAGTCCATCTGCCCTGTGCATGAAGCAGCCACCACAAGAACAGCGACCCGCCAGTGCTTGCGGCCTCAGACGGTGTGCTCAGTACCTCACCGGCAGTTTCAGCTCCGGCATCCTGTGTTCACGGTATGATGTGTGCACACTACGTGCGTCAGACAAAAAGTAGACCCAAGTTCTCACATTTAATCTGCACAACTCTGAGGAGTATGTGCTACTGTGATCCCATTTCATAGCTAAGGAAACAGAAACAGCAAAGCTCAGCAATCTGCCTCACGTCCCATGGCTACAAGGGAAGAGCCAGCAGCTGATGGACTCAGACGTTAGTAGTCTGGGCTTCCCACCAAGCAGAAGGTCTATTAGCAGAGCCACGGAAGATTAAATATGAAATTGAAGTCAGTCATGCTAATAAGAAGTAGATTCTCTAGAATGATTGAGGACTGCTGTGTTTGTTCCAACAAGCCTATGCCATGTGCCCTATAACTCCTCATCAGCAATAAGGAAAGTCAAGTTTCTGGGGAATCATTTTCTAGGACCATAGAGTGGAAATCCGGCTTATTTTTACAGTCGAGCGAATTTGAAATGCAGTAGAAAGATGGCTACATAACCGTCTATACGAGCAGGTGTATACTACATTTGGAGACGCTATCTACCCATCTGCAGGCAAATCCCCGCTTCTTTCCTTTAGTGGCGAATGCCATAGTGAGCCTGGGACCCTTCGCCCACACGCACACCAGGAGCTGCAGCCACCCTGCGTGACCACCTCCCTCTCCTCTTTCCACTCAGAAAATGCACTTGGAGATGTAACAGCCAGTGATGTCTGTACTCCTGACCATCCCACTAAAGAATTCCAGTTTTGACTGCTGCTAACTCTTAACAGTGCAGGGGATCATGACATGAAGATGGCGATCAAGGAGAAATGTGTTTCCATGATAACTTGAAAAAGCCAGGTTTACACACAGGACTCCAAACCAGTGTCTAATGACTCACCTCGTGCAAACAGCCTTCCGTAAAGTTCGGGACACTTCTGTCTCTTGCCATAATCTCTCTTGACGTCTTTCCCCTGAAACCCAAAAGAAACTAAAATAAATATCTGACTGGAAACACACCGGTTGGCCACAAGATGTCAGCATTCGACGACAATATTAGTGCAGACTTGCCCATAACCAGTTAAAGCAGCACATAACTCATGTCAGTTGTTACATAAACTGCAGGGTCAAAGCACAGAAATCAGCTTGGCATTCATACTCACTTCAATTGGCCAACTGAGGGTACGAAGTAAAACTGTCTCGTAAAAGGTTCATCTGGTAGATCATACATTTTTGAATTCCCTGCAGATAAAAGGATAAACATGTGAAACAAAAACTGCTTTAAAATTTAAATTTAAAATAGATGCAATCTTTCCAGTTTTTTAATTTTAAAAAATTTAGAAAGCCAAACACTAAATTTTCTTAAAGAAACACAGCCGATACCTATTTAGTACAGGTTGAGTAACCCTACTTCTAAAATCTGAGCTCCAAAACACTAAATTTTTTAAACTCTGTGACGTGACACTCACAGGAATTTGATTACCTGATTAAGGATGCACAATTGTAATTATAATGCAAATATTCAAAAATCCAAAAAATTCCAGAACACTTGGGTCCCAAGCATTTCAGATAAGGGATACTCAACCTGTTCTATGTGAGTCCCCAGAAACAGAAAGATTAATCTATAATACGCTGACATGCCCCAGTACAGCCAACCGTGGTGAGGCAGTCTCGGGATTATCCAGATGTGGGAGGGGTCTTATTCACATGATCGCACTGCAAATTCATATTGTAATTTTAAAAAGAAAAACAAAAATAGAATAAGGACCCCTATAAACTTTTTTTTTAAAGAAAATACTCCAGTCCCACTGCTGGTTGGCAACTCTCTTCTAATCACCGTTATCCTGTGTATGTCTGGAAATTTTTATAAAACCTTTAAAGGTAACATTAACTACCCTGGATGTCCAAGAAATGCTCAGACCGCCCAGCTTTGGAATGTGAGGCATGAAAGCAACCACAAGAAGCAGATCCTCATCTCCAGTTTGCAAGTAGAGGCCTGAACCTTCGAGGTAATGCTGAGAGTTTCTAACTTATTTCCTTAGAAAACAGCATTACCATCAACCAGAAAACTAGCAGCCAAAAAAGCTCACCCCTCCTCTGATAAATCAGGATGTTGTAACATCCCTTTCTTTGGTATCTGTAGCCCCTCCAGTCATGACTACAATTGCACTTTACATTTACAGTTAAATGAAAGCCAGCAACTGCCCTTAAATTTCTAAATAAACCCCAGTAGGGATGATAGAAGGTGGCTTCTTACATTTTTTCCTGATCTTCACAGTGACGTACTCCTTGTGGTCTGCATCAGAAACATCATCTAAGGAGGCAACACAGCTTGGTACAACCTCAAGTAATTCCATTATTTTCGAATTCTACAATTTGAAAGGGAAGAGGTAACAGTAATATTTTTATTCTTTCTTTTTTTGTTGTTTTTTTGTTTTTTTTGGATTTTTTTTGAGTTGGAGTCTCACTCTGTCATCCAGACTGGAGTGCAGTGGCCACTCCCAGCCACCGCAGCCTCGACCTGCAGGGCTCCGGCGATCCTTCCGCCTCAGCCTTCCGAGTAGCTGGAACTACAGGCACACGCTACCATGCCCGGCTGATTTTTTTTTTTTTTTATTTGTTGTAGAGAAGAGGTCTCGCCGAGTTGCCCAGGCGAGTCTCGAACCTGCGGGCTCAGGCAATTCACTCAGCTCAGACTCCCAAAGGTGCAGGAGCCACTGAGCCCGGCTTTATTCTTTATAGGTTATTGCCTGTTTTCTATCTAAGTGTCACTATTGGCAGAAAAAGCACAGAAAGAACTGGGAAACTGTGACAAAACTGTGAGGCCAGCCGGGTTCGGTGGCTCAGCCTGTAATCCGCGCCTTTGGGAGGCTGAGGTGAGTGGATTGCCTGAGTCCGTGGGTTTGAGACCCGCTTGGGCAACTTGGCGAGACCTCCTCTCTACAATAAATCAAAAAATAAGCCAGGTGTGGTAGCGCATGCCTGTAATTCCGGCTACTGGGAAGGCTAAGGCGGAAGGATCACTGGAGCCCAACAGGTCGAGGCTGCGGTGGCCGGGAGCGGCCACTGCGCTCCAGTCTGGGCGACAGAGTGAGACTCCAACTCAAAAAAAACAAAAAAACAAAAAAACTGTGAGGCCACAAGGCCTCATGATGAAGGCAGCCCTGCATTTGGGACCTGGCTCTGCCCTCCACCAGGTACTGGGCTGGGTATTTACGCACTCTGGGCAACTGGGTTGACAGTAATAAGATCTGTGGTATGAGCCGGGCTTGGTGGCTCAGCCTGTAATCCCGCACCTTTGGGAGGCTGAGGTGAGTAGATTGCCTGAGCCCACGGGTTCGAGACCTGCCTGGGCAGCGAGACCTCATCTCTACAATAAATCAAAAAATGAGCCGGGCGTGGTAGGGCGCGCCTGTAATTCCGGCTACTTGGAAGGCTGAGGCGGAAGGATGGCCGGAACCCAGCAGGTCGAGGCTGCGGTGGCCGGGAGCGGCCACTGCACTCCAGTGTGGGCGACAGAGTGAGACTCCAACTCAAAAAAAAAAAAGATCTGCTGTATGGTCATCATGAGGTTACCATGGGCCCATCACATAGTATATGCTCAATCAGACACATTCATCATCCTCCCTTAGGAAAACACTAAACTGAAAGCTTTAAATATTTCAATTCTGTCACTGAAAATTAAAAATTGATATAGTAAGCCTATGAATAGGGTGGCTTTATGGGGACTTTAACATCTCCAACGGGTCATGTCGTTACGTAGCCTCCTAGCTGTCCATTCTGAGGAGAAAACGAGATCAAAATTCAGCAAGAAAACAGGAGCAAAAAAGAGAGATCTCCCCTGGAGAAAAGTACTTTTTCCTCACCATTCTCTATGGCAAACATCCACAGCACTGGATAAAGCGGTAAGCTGGAAATCACAAACTTGCTTAGAGAACTCAAGGAGTTTTAAATCCACAAACTCAACTTTCTCCCCCAGGCTAAGGCAATGGGTGGGCTCACGTGGCAGGAACGGGAAACCACTACATCTTAACTTGCTCTTTGCCCTGAGTCCTGACTGCACTCAGTGCCGAACCAGAACACCCACGGGTGCCAGGGGTAGCACCTCCACTCAGGCCTTGGTAACCTACCCACGAGAGAAGGATTCCTGGCCCCCGGAGCACCCACCTCTGACCAGTGACCGAGGGCCAGGCTTCTCACCACAAGGGGTGAGCCGGCGCCGCGGCTCAAAGTCTGCCCGTTGTGATCTCAGATCGCGTTTAGACCCAAGACCCCGAAGCGAGCTGTGAGGGTGCTCAGGGCCCCCTCAGCCTGAAGCGCTCCCCACATACCTGCTCAGCACAATCTACAGCTGTGCGCTGCCTCTTGTTCAACAGGTGGACCGATGCTCCGTGGAGCAGAAGCAGCTCCACCACGAAGACGTGTTTTTCCATCACAGCCTCGTGCAGCGCGGTGTTGCCCTTGTCGTTAGACGTGTTGATGGAGGCCCCATGCTGGAAAGACAGACCATCGAGAGAGTGCTCACACGTGCTGCATGGAACCTGGGTGGCAGGCGGACGGACGTTCAGTGTCAAACATACTCAGCTTTGCTGGAAGTCCGAAAATGTTCTTAAAACGTTGGGAGTAGAAGAAATACTGAGATAGAAAGACTTAAAGACAAAAATGCTCACTGCAGCATTTATCATTATAGCAAAACAAAAAAACAGACGCCACTTAAATGTACAGAGCAGGAATGGTTTTTAAAAAATCACAATTTGCCAGGCTCGGTGGCTCAGCCTGTAATCCCGCACCTTTGGGAGGCTGAGGTGAGTGGATTGTCTGAGCCCGCGGGTTCGAGACCCGCCTGGACAGCGAGACCTCATCTCTACAATAAATCCCAAAAAAAAATCAGCCGGGTGTGGTAGTGCATGCCTGTAATTCCGGCTACTCGGAAGGCTGAGGCGGAAGGATC